CGGATACGAATGATGACGAGCGGATGGATCATGACGATGATCACATAGAGGGAAAGGGAGAGAAGTCGGGTGAAATGGATATAGGAGCATTGGAGAGAGATTTGCTGGAATACCAGTTTAGTGAAGACGACGACGGGGAAGTCGATGGGAATCTATTGCTGATGACACCAATAGAGAATCTATTGCATCGTCGTTCCTGTCCCCTACAAAGGAGGCGCCGGCCAGCTTATCCCCAGTGGAACCAATAAGCCTGGCAATGGACTACCGGAGGAGGGACCTGCAGAAACTACTCCATGAGTCACCAAGGAGGAGGAAGATTGAGGAGAATATGAGGGTATCTTTCCTGAGCACGCTACCGGAAGAGGAGTGGGAAAGATACCAGAGTGAACTTCAACGTGAGACGGGAGTAACCTGGAACCGAGTGACTTTCATGGAGAGGACATGGGACGTGATACGCAGATACGGGACGCAGTCCATAATGAAGGTGCGATTAAACCAACCCATCATGCGCGAGGTTCTAGAGAAAATCATGAACTCTGTAGAGTCTGATGTTCTGACCGAGTCAGTTACAGAAGACAGTGGTGATGATCAGCAGATCACGAGGAAGTTACCCGTCTGACGAGCTAAAAAAAGGGCTGAAGCGGTTAAAGGGAAAGACCGGAAGCAGAGCCGTGAACCAGAAAAGGGTGAGGTCGAAAGCCAGCACAGTGATGGCCTCCTTGGCAGGAGCAGCTCATTCAGGCGAAAGTGGGCAAGGAGATGGTGCAATACTTGCCGGGGGAGAAAAAGAGAACCTGATACCCCCTATGCTATTGTCAGGTTTGACCACAACGGCCACGAGGTCAAAGAAAAATGCACGGACTCTGGCGGACACTAAGCTGGAAATGGAGGTCATCAGTCAGTGTGAATCTGGAGGACATGATGATTACAAGCCCTCGCGAATCAACATGGCCCGGATTAAGCTGGAGGGACAACACGATGTGGTCGAGTCTAGTCGAATCACTGTACCAGACTCAGTCCACGTGGGGGATCCGGCAGGGGGTTATGTGGAGATGCTGAAGGCGAGGAATTCCGCGAGAGGGCACCTGATGGCTTGGAACGAGAAGCAAGCCATGCAGGAGTATCTGAGGGAGCTGACGGAGAACTCCAATTTGAACAGGAAAGAATACGGCACGGTGATGTCCTCGGAAGCAAACGAAATTGGCCTGGAAAGACGGCTAGAGATCTCTTGGAGGGCGGCCCTCCAAATATGATTTGACGAGACGATGCGTGCACCGGCGACGGTGGCAGCATACCTAGTTTATCCATGTACCAGAACTGACTTGCAGGTACGACTGGCCTGGTGTTTGATGGGAATTAAGAAGGCGGAGTATGAAGCCAAAAACGACTCGAAATCAAAGGAACAGGAGCTGGAATTGATGGAAGCCATGCGAATGTTGATTTCTAGAGGCGATTCTGCGATAGCCTGGGCTAAGCGTAAGGATGACCTTTGCTTTGTAAGGTTCGTGGTGGATCGTATCCCCACTCGTGTTTTGGGAGAATGCATAAAGACCATTCGGCAAGGGGGAGTTAATGGTGAATGAAACTTCCTGAGGGCACTCCTGGAGCTGTATCAAGACATGCCGCTGGCAATACCAAACAAGGAGTCGACCGATATGGAGAGCTACCGCCGGTTGGAAGAAGTGAGAAGGTATTCCAACAAAGAGTTGAAAGTGAGCCGGGAATTAATTGAAATTGAAGCGGTCAGGGGACAGAAAGACTATGCAACCTTGGGAAAGTTGAAGTCGTTCCAATATGTGTCTGGCATACCGGGTATGGCGTATAATCTTTTCGTGAATGAGGAAGCCAGGGAAGCGTACTTCGACTATGAACAAGTTATAGTAATCAATTTTTGGGTAGAGCGGGTCAAGGAACGGGCGTCTGACGGGTAACTTCCTCGTGATCTGCTGATCATCGCCACTGTCTTCTGTAACTGACTCGGTCAGAACATCAGACTCTACAGAGTTCATAATTTTCTCTAGAACCTCGCGGATGGTTGGTTGGTTTAATCTCACCTTCATTATGGACTGCGTCCGGTAATTGCGTATCACGTCCCATGTCCTCTGTGTAAGGGCTTTCCTAAAAAAAATTTATAAAACGTGAAGGGTCTACCCTCCCAAATTGGTGAATTTGCTAAAAACAATCTCAAAAAATTTTCACGAATAATACTGTTCCTACTAGTTAGCTCAGCTAATTTATGATCTAATGGTATAAAGATCAACTGGATCTGTCCAGTCGTTCAAAAGTTATTAACCAAAACGTCTTTCTTCCAAACTCAAAAATTTTCTCTCTTATAGGTTCCGCCTAACTTTTTTTTCACAATTCCGTTCTTTTCGACCTAAAAACTATTGATCCGAGCACAAAAGGCCTATACTTTTCTAATTCAATGCAAAAAACTCGATCTAAAACGCTTTAGTTGAAAAAATTTGTGAAAAACTATGCTACCTGGACCCCTCCGAATTGATGAATCCACTGAATCAAACACGTTAAGTTCGATTTCTCTGTAACCCAGAAGGCTTTCGGGAAGCGGGTTTTAAAACTTGTAGATTCACTAGTGGACCTTGTCCGAAAAACTATTTTTACTGTCCTAACTGAAAATTTTCAAAAAATTTTCTGATTTTATAGTGTTTCGTATTATCAAAAATCGCGAGAATTCGGTTTTTGGTACCAAAATAGTTCCAACCACTTCCGAACTAAACTTAACCGGTTCTATCTATTATAGTAGTGCAATTACGATGTAACATACTAATTTTGCGCTTTTTTTCTTTTCAAAAATATCGGTATCTCAAAAATCGCGATTTGTGGGGGGATCAAAATATCGCTATTTTGACCCTAAAAACCGCTCTGCTTACTGTGTTTTTCACTGAAAAACGATATAGGAGTATTAATATAGGCTATATAAGTAATAATATTAGTAATACTATACCCCTCCGGGTTTGTTTAATATCCGAATTAAGGTGCTTAACTCGGATATTCGCAGTTCGGTGAAGGGTCACTACAGTGCAACACTGTCGAGCCCCCCACAGATTACTATCTTACTTTTTGTACCAAAAGGGATACAAAACTTGTTAACGATACCCAACAGTCGATTGTTGTTGTCCTTGGGCCCCTTCTTGTTGCTCCTTGTACTGCTTGCCGGATCAGTCTTCCCCCAAGACCCTTCCGAATTGAGCGCAAATCAGCTGACCCTTCCGGATTGAGCGCAATTTATCATTAACGCGCTTAAATGCTCAAATAACTCTACAGTACAAGCCACACAAACGGGCTACAAAACTGATCGTAACGATCCTGACTGATATAAATGCCTGTAACAACAATATATCTATCAACAACAAACGGGAGGGTCGGATCACATCTTGTCTGGGGAATGATTTCTACTGATTTTTTTTTTTTTTACTGTTTTTGGTTTTTTCGGTTATTTTTTATGTTTTTTGTTTTTCTTGGGTACTATACTACTTTTTGTTTGATTTTATATATATCTTTAAGTGTTTTTGGTCACAAACCTCTCAGGGAACGACGGGACCGCGAATCCCCCTACCCTTCCTGCTTCGTGAATTTTCGGTCTGAACTAGGTTAAAAAGCTATTCACGATAATCCGGAAGACTTCCGCGTTCCGAACTACCCTTCCACCCCGGCGGTTTAGGCCTATTAAGGGCGTTAATGTGAGCATCCGCTCGGCGCGGAGTGCTCGTTAACGGTTCTGCCGGTCATGATGTTAAAAAAGAATAACAACCAGGAGCGCCATAAAAACATCTATGTAACATTCGCCCGGAAGATACATATCGACCCGAAAATGAAGCTGGATTCTAAGACGACTGGCCAACGTCTAAACAGAGCTCTACATGCTTTTCACCGTCTCTATCAAGCCAGTTCTTTTGGTGGTCTTTTCAACATCGGGTCGACAAAAACGTTACTGTTCTCCGGCTTCGACCAGAACGCTCAAATTAACTTAATTACATGCAGAAATAGTGAGCTCATGGCTGGGTCTCAGTATCCCCAGACCACGAGGTTACTCCTAAAATCAGGGCTACTACTACTTATTGAATTATTATTGTTTTTGTTCAGTAGATAAAAATCATCATCTCCATCAAAGATGGATCAACCCTTTCCCCCAACTCCTAGCTTTTCATCCTAGCAAAATGAATTCAGATGTTAATTAAATTCAATTCAGGACATAATAGTGAAGCTAAAAGTTTATATAAAATGCTATGAGTTTCAGTCCCGAGACCCCTCCGGATTCTTGAATCCGGGGAAATAGGACCTCTGTCTTCCTTCCGGAAGGCTGTCTTCTACTCTTCACCGTTGTTCGCAACGGCCTTGCAACTATTGTAGCGACACAATAGTTGAAACTCGGAACGGTCTGTGCTAGTTCTGCTCGTCTCTAATTCCGATTCTAAGTTTTTCCGTTGTTGTTGTCGCAACTACTGTTGTTGTTGTTGTTTTATTTCGGTTTTTCACTTAGTAACTTTTCACTTAGCCCTAAACAGACCAGAAAATCAACTGGCAAGGTCGAGACGGTGAAAAACGAGCATAATTAAGGTAACTGACGCCTGCCAGTGGTTAATAGGTACTTTTTCTACGCTCCGTCGCTGTGTAGTATTTGGGCGAATGTTACAGTTCTTCGAATATTGATGTCGTTCGTTTTTTTTTCTCTCGTGTGTTTTGTTTCTGTTACCGAAAATCGTTGTTCTTATTCCGACTTGCGAAAATCGTCGTTGTGATTTTCGCGCTTTCTCAGTAGTCGCGAAAGTTAAAATTGTCACGTGTCATGCACCCCAAGTTTAAAGCTCATTGGTCAAAACTCAAACCCCAAGTTGTTCATATTGTTCACAGTTAATGGCTGATTTTCATAAAACAACGTGTTTAAATGTCATTGAAATTACCATGAGTAATATGTCTCTTTTTTCTCGCCTTCGTGTCCGATGATATAGAATGATTTTTACAATAGCAGCCGTCTTTTCAGGAAACTGATGGAGTCTTTGCCAGTTTTGCCCCTTCAGCAAATGGAGCTGAAGGTGCCGACTGATTCTCCTGTTTTCACTAGTCTGGCAAAGGTAAGCTTTTGCCCGTTACCCATCCTTGAGTCAATACTTGTAAATTGAGTAAAGAGTTAGTGTTTTGAGCTGAATTTTTCCGAATTAAATGTCATTCCTTCTATTTCAACTATATTGCAACAGGTTAATTTGTTTATTTTATTTCTTAGGCACTGGAGACCGGTGATTCGAAACAAGACGAAGCCGTGAAAAAAGCAGTTCAAGAACTTTCAAATCTACGGAAGGCAAGATTATTTTTGTTTTCAATTTTGAAGTGACCATTTTTTCAAGTTTCGAAATCCAAGTAATTATTAACAATTCATTAGATGCTTCAAATACTGACTAGCGTTATCAATTTTTATCTGATAGATTTCTTAAATGAAAATATTTGTTAATGATTTTTTATATAGCGTTGTTATGTCGCTATTCGCTATCCAAACTATTCATGGGCGGTGGCATGACAAACGGGTACCTCCTAATTGATTTTTGAATTTATTCACTAGAATCAAGTTTCGTCTCTTAAAGCCGTTTTTTTATTATTTTGATGAGAGTTATGTTGTTAAAGGAGGTCATATCGCCTCCATTAGATACGACTGGAATCGAGAAATTGCACAAGTATTTCGGCCAGCTTCATCTGATCAGTCTTCGAGTAGACATGGACAAAGGACAGCCGGCCTACGTAAAGTTTAAATGGTGGGTTTTGTCTTTATAAGACAAAAATTCGTCCTATCTTTTTTTATTAATTATAAGTATAATAAATGAGTGACGTTTAAGGAGACGATTTTGGCGTACTGAACGGGTTTGGACAGTTTTTTTTTGTTCCCAGATATTCACTAAAACCTCTGTTCTAGGAATGACTCCTTATACTTTGGAAAAGTGACTGGTTCCGTGAACATTGAGAAGTTCTTCTTGCTGTTCAACATTGGTAAGAAGGCTCTCTGCCAATTATAATTTAACTTCGTTCGAATATGAAATGTTTTTTTTTGCTTCAGCGGCTATTCATTCAACCCTGGCAAGAGAAGCCTCAAAAAATGCAACTGACGAAGTATGTATGCCAAAATAATCCTTTTCAAAAATGAAGCTTCATTTAAAAAAAATATATATTAAAAATGGCCTTCACTAATTTTGCAACTGAAAATGCTTTCTTTAAATGATGTATCTTTGACTTTTTTTTCGAGCGTAAAAACGCCCATTTACTAAGATCTAGATTCTCCATGCTTCTTTTATGTGGTCGGGGTATAATTTTACCTGCATTATAATCTGGTTTTTCAGGATTTGAAGCGGAGTTGCAAACACCTGCAGTGCGCAGCAGGAGTGCTGGAATGGGTGAAGCAGAACATGAATGAAGTGCACAAATCGGAGCTGTCGTATGTGAAGGACGAAATAGTGGACTACCATCACCAGGTGTTGTTGGCCCATGCTCAGGAACAGCTGCTGTACAAAGCAATCAAGGACAAGAGGAAGAACAACTTGCTCGCTAGGCTAGCTCAGAGTGTACGATCCATTTAGCTCTTTATCACTCCTTTTACTTTTGTATTTTCTTTTCAAAAACAATTAACGCTGGAAAAAAGCCACTCAGCTGGGTCGCAAGTTTCATGTATATATATTTTTTTCTATGGAAGAGCAGGATTAAAGAAAAACGTTTAAATTAATGGTGTTCGTATAACAATTGTTGTGAAAATGCGTAAATGTGTTGCAGGTTTTCGAGTCATACCAACTAATGTTCGAAGATATTCAACAAGACGAGATTGGAGAATTGGGATTGAAGAAACACCCGGTTTGTTGTCCCATTTAATTACAACCAAGATTTTTTTGGCTCCCAAAATAATAAGAAACATATCAACACCATTCGTATAGTCAAATGGATTCTGTCGATAGAATCAGTTTTCTCTGAAGTCTTAATTTGCCGCTCATGCTGTTAGAATTCCGAAGAATGGCGTCCTGCATTATTAGGGTAGCATTTTTGATACCCTCGTAGTTAGAACTACTGTCTGGGCGATGAATTGTGATACGCTGATATTAGAAAAGAATGTGGAGCAACTTTACATTCCGAACTTACCCGTAAAATACCAAGTTGATATCTTCCATTCTGCCTTTTAATTTGGATTGAAGCCCTGCATCTAAATTATTTCCTTCCCCCTAGACCGCTTGGAAGAGGAGATGATGTTAAATAAATCGAACTTTCTTGTTTTCAGGACTGGTATGAGTTCACCTACATACGCATGTCTTTCTACGCCTCACTCACCTGGCTCCTGAATGGGTTGCACTACGACGAGCAGACTCAGTACGGCAACGCACTGTACTGTTACGACAAATCGGCAGTGTTCGCGGATGGGCTGCCGAAGATAACAGGGAAGAACAAAGGCAACGAACAAACTGCGGCTACTGACTACTTGAAAGAGCTTGTCAAGAAGAAGTGAGTTGTTAGCTAATATGCTTAATGTAAAATCTTCGGCAAGAACAAGTTTTTTCTGACTGTAAATGAGAATTAATTTAGTAGCATCAAAAACAAAATCACCAAAAACATGGTGGGGCAGCTGCGTGGTATATGAAAAATTAAGTGGAGATCATAAAAAATGGAAAAATACTGAAACTTTTCGAGAGGAAAATTGGCGAAATCTTCAATAAACATAAGCCATCAGATATGTGGCACTGTCTAGACAGGCTTAACTCCTATTATACGAGATATGCATCAGTACTATACGCAATGTTTGCGTCGCAATTGAAGAAAAATTGAATCAATCTAGAAAGAGTTCAAATCCAACTGGCAAACTTCTGAAACGCGCTTGTCGTATACCCTTATTCGGTTTATTAAATAAATTGATTTCATTTAGTAATTACTGCCTGTGCTAACGGTGCCCTGCCCCGTTGAGACCCAATAACATCAGAAGAGTTGATTGGAGTTTCATGTAGCACTGACCAATAAGCTCATGAAGTAGCAACCAGTTATTAATTTCATGTGTTTTCAACTCGCCGAAGAAGCTTTGAAAACCAAATACAAAATTTATGAAGAATCAAAACAGACAAGCGTTTCAAATATGCCCTGTTTGAGCTTTTTTCAAGTGGTTCGATAAAATGCTTCAACAGAAATCAAATTGGATCAGCTTGTTATTAATTTATGAAATCAAATCACAAATTTTTGGGAAACGCACTGCAATGTTAAGTTTTTGTCAAAATCTTTTGGAACTAAGGAGATTTCCCAAGATAAATTTGGAATGTTGACTTTTTTGGGTTAACAAATAGTTTAATCAAATCAGTTGAATCACTTATGATGCTGGCTGACGGGCTCATTCTCATGAAAATTTATTATTAACTACCGGAAACTAGGTACTACTCATGCTATATTAATTTTCTACTGATGGTTTTTTGGCTTCATGGTTGTCGACTTAAGCTCTGTGGGTTTAGTTTCCAAATTATGTCTACTTTGCATACGCTACTCATATGCCTATGTGGGCGTCACATGAATTTTTTTACGAACATTTTTGGCTGAGTTTCACCTTAAAGGATGTCGGCTTCAATTGTGTCGGCTTATTTACTAATTTTTTTCCTCGAAATGACCGGTAGTTTTTTTTTGATATCGATAAGACGCTAGTACCACTTTTTGAACAACAAAATTCACCACACCAGGACCTCTTCGAAAAACTTAAATAAGGTCAAACACGCAAAAAGTGCCTTTTCATTTCTTTCTCGTTTTTCCACTTCCTTCTTCACATTAACATCGTTCGAAGTTTGTTACTTTTTTAGCTTCATTGTGCACTCATCCTATAATTGTTTTTATTGCAAGTGGTGCGAAGCTCAGCTTCGCCTCTGTGTATATGATTGTACACAGCCTATAATAATGTCATTAATGTATATAAAAAACAACGGAGGCCCCAAATCGGAGCTTTGTCGAACACCTTACTCGAGATTTTGTCTCGTAGATTGCGTTTCACCAATTTCGGTAACTTGTTGCGTTGCTTTAAGTAACTTTTAGTTGTTAACTTGAGCTCTTCAATTTATGCAGAAGAAATTAGTGAATTACTCTTGAGATTATCTAGCATATCAAATCATAACATAATTTTTTCAAGCAAACAAATTGCTCAACAGCGCGATTGATACATTCAAGTTCAAGCGACAGATTTTGCACATTCGGTACTGAAGTAGTGACCACGCTCGGATGAATGAGGTTTAAAGTTCGAGTCCAGTCAGGACCTCATGAAAGCCTTGAATGTAGCCTCTTGCAATGAATTAATGGAATGAGTTATTCTAGCTGGTCAGAAACTTCATAAAGAACAGTGTTTCCCCACTTCTCGCGAATGATTTTTTTTTCGATTGGGTTGAATGCGTCAAATGAGCTTTGATTAACCACTGGCAGGAACGATTTAACTGTTTAAAGGTGATAAGTTTTATTTGGACATAAGGTTTGCTTGAACTTAAAGTTGATTTGAACTAAAGCCTTAAAGTATAAATCATCACGAACTGTATAAAAGAAGATCACTTCGTTCTTTTAGGCTTAAAGCCTAAAAGAACGAAGTGATTTTCTTTTATACAGTTTGTGATGATTTATACTGAATTAGTGATTTGACAGGCGCTTATAGGCACAGAGGCGCTAAAAGCCGAGTGAACAGTTTCAAGTTTCGTGATTTGTTTTGATTTTGCTCTTTTTTTTTCTGATTCACAATTGTTTTTGATTATGTTCAGACTACAAAGCAGCCGTTCGAAACTCAATAGGGAGTCCTCTCAGAACTGAACATCTTTGTTGAATGTATAATTATAACAAAATAATAATTTTGCTTTGCATTTCAAAAAATGTCGGTGTTTTTAAAGCACAAGACACGTGTAAACTCATTTTTAAACTTGGATTAAGGCATAAGAACCAGTGGCGTGCGCAGAACTTTATCTAGGGGGGCGAAAAAAAATATAAATTTAGTCAATTTTTTTTTGTTCGACCAATTTGAGTTTCCAAGCTCTCGGAAAATTTTATAAGTACCCCCTATTTTGTTAAACTTTCTGCGCCGCAGGCGTATTTTAAAAAAATAACAGGCTTAAAATGACACTTGAAGTTGCCCCCCCCCATCCTTCAAATTTAGTTACATTGGCGCCTTTATACATTTTTTTCATGTTGGCCAGCAAAAATTGGAAAAATTATACCAAAGAGGGACCCTTTGGAAAAAGTTGGCAACCAGAACAGAATTGAGGGAGGGTAATTAGCGGGTCGCCCACCCCCCTCGGCACGCTACTGTTAAGAACTATTTTCATTATTTTTATTGAACTTTCATAAAGTGCTGATGAAAACTTGAGAGTAAACTTGTTGATTTATATAGAGCAGAAGAGTCGAGGCGGGACAACAGTTTCATTTTCCACGAGAAGGTGCCAGACTCCCTGCCAGATGTTGTGGGCCAGTGTCTAGTGAAGATATTCCCCTTCACTGCCTACGATGCCAAGATAGTGGGACCTGATCTGTTCCCAACCGCGATTTCAATCGAAGCAGTGTCTGCCACTTCTGTTTACAGGTTGGTTAAATTCAGACTCCACGAAAGACTGATGTCTGTAATAAAGCCCCTGTGGTATCTTATAAGGACTATATACAGGACGAATTCAAAGTATAACTAAATGCGTATACTGTATTTTTTAACGAATTACAGCAAGCATTACGGTGAGGGGATTTATTTGATGAGATTTTAAAAGACTTGCTCAGTACACACAAGAACTAGACGATCAATTTGGAAATTTTAAATTTCGGAAACATTTCGGCTGAGGTGTAGACTTAACATTTCACAAGTGCAATTGACTATGTTTTAATTCACATGCCAACCAGTTGTTAGACTAATGATCTCGATTTTTGAATCAGTGAGAGGAAAGATGGGCTGTGGCGTGAGATGTCGAGTGAAGTGGAGAATAAGAACAATGAGCTGAAGGGGTTCGAGGAGGACCTGGATCTGAGACATCTGAAATACTTGGAGTCAGTTCCCATCGAGAATGAGTCTCTTCCTCAGGATCTGGTGGAGAGAGTGGCTAAATTGAGTCTGAAGCCAAAGACAGCCGAGGAGATTGAACAAGATATGCAGAGTGAGTGACATCTTTTAAGATTTTTAAGAGCCGGGAGAAATAGATTTTTTGGTTTTTCTTCTGAGCTTACATGTTATTTTAACACCGCTGTCTTGAATTTTAATAAGAGTAGATGTTAGTATTCTCGTAGCACGAAAACACTTAAGATGCTTCTCAGCCTTGACTTCTCTGGATGCTCAATGCATTAGTAGAATCTTTGTATTCAGGTCTGACCAAGACAGTGTTTGGCATTGACGAGACACTCAGCCTCGTCTCTGACAAAATAGACTCGGAGACGAGAAAGAACGCACAGCTCAAATCAGAATGGGGAGTAACCAGAGATCCAACTAAGTTGGAAACCATTGGCACAGGTAATCACTCGATGAATTATGTAATCATTTTTTTGCTTCTTTCTCGATTCTTTATTATCAACTTTGGAACATATTTGTCACTAAAAACGAAAAAAAAACTGCTGTAAAAAACTCCCGATTGGTTGCACAGAAGTTTTGTAGCGGTGATTGCGTGATTTAAAAGCTGTTATTTTTCTATTTCAAATCAAAAGATACAACTCAGTTATTAGTTTGCTTACACAAGCGAAGCGTAGTGTCTCTATACGAAGTGCACTTTTTCCCAACCTAAATTGCGAATATTGCTTCTACTTTGGTGGCAACATTATTTACAAAGCAATGCTTTTCTTATAGTATGAACTATCTGTTTTTTTTTCCAACCTAAGTCGCAAATATTGTTGCGACGCAAAAAACGTTGCGACAAAATGTGTTCATTTTGATCATTAACCAGCTATTGAGTACATCCAATGCTAAGGATTTTAACACAAACTGTTACCGAAAGTAACGCAATAGTTGTGCTCGGGTGGTTTTTTTCTTCAGACAAATTTCAACTTTTCAACTAGCCATTTTGACGGGATTTTTTAGACAGCATTCAAAAAGTATTGTTGCCTTGAGCTTAAATTCGGAAAGATATTTTACCTGTGATCGTTTTTCGCAAAGTTATGGGGGTTTAAAAATGGCCATTTTTGCCAATATATCGCGCTATTAACGCGTAAGCGGAGATTTAATCCGTCTTAGAAATCGTTCCAAATTGGTTGACGGAAGCTTTTTGCCATAATTGATTTGTTACGAGGAGCGAATTTTATCAGTTTGTACTTAATATTGCGTGTGGGGGATGATATTCACAAAAATCTCAAATAAAAAATCTTTTTTATTTTTGTTACATTTAATTGTTTCATGTTATTACTGCTCCATAGACTGCTCTATAAATTGAGGCATGTTAAAAATTGGTAAAATTTTTTTCAACTTGACTGGTACTGCTAATGCGTCATAAGTGGCGTTGCGTCACTTACGAATTTTCGTAGACTCAAAATTTTACTCATTCAGTTTTTCACATTCAGTTTTTCAAGTGCAACTTTGCCTCTGTTCACAAAAGTGGTCGAAAGACCGATTAAAATACCATTTTTCTCCTGTGTACCGTACATTCTGCTACTCTTTTTTTTACCGTACCCGGCGGAGTTCGAACCTTTCAGTGGGGAGATTTTTGACACTTTTTTGGATTTGTTTTTCTCATTCTGAGGTATCAAATCTGAATTTAAGGATTCAATCAGAAAGCATGTTATAGAAAACTCCGCGGCATAAGCTGTTCTGCTTCTGTTTTTTTTTGGAAATTAGTTGTGGCCTCAATAAATGCTCAAATTTTGAACTGTTGGTCGTTCCTTGGAAGTTTTTTTCTTGTTCTCGAAAAGTATCCCGCCGAAAAATCTGGCATTCAATTGTAGTGATCAAGTGTTTACCCAACCTAAGTCGCAAATATTGTTGCGATTTTTGTTGCGACTAAGTCGCAATTTTTGTTGCGACTTAAAGCAACAATATTGCTGAGTCGAATTTGCTGCATCGAAATTGGCAATAAGATATATTAATATTTTGTTGCACCTTTACAGTTTATTGATAACATGTGCTTTAACAATCGAATAGTTTTAAGTTTACACAGTTGATGCATTTTTAATTCATCAGTGAACCGAAGAAAGCTATTTGTTTCTAAGATAACAATAATAAAGTCTCGATTTCAGAATTTTTCTAACTCAATATTTTTCGCAATTTTTTGAAATGCATAATTTATACATAATGTGGTCTTATGATTTGCAATTTATTTAGTGCAAAATTGTATCTTTTTGTATTTGGTGCTTCTTTTGCTGCATCGAATTGGCAATTTATTAGCATAGGTACGTGCGTTATTGATGGCTAGTTTTTGGGGATTTAAAGCATCCGTGGCTGAATGGTTAGTGCGTGAGACTCAAATTTGCTAGATCGCAGATTTTTGCTAATTGAAATCTTGCAAGTTCGAGGCTTATTTCTACTTTTTCTTATGTCACTTGATAGAGCTGCTTTTTGGTCGTTTTCTCGCAAGTGTTTGCGAAGCGCAGCTTTGCCTCTGTGTCAATCGTAAGTTCAGGTGCTAGGAATTATCACTGCATAAATGAAAACGGCTACGCCCTTATTTTATGGAAAAAGGTATATAAATTGAACAGTTTTGAAGTTTTGACCATCGAAAATTTTCTTGCTACTATATTGCCAAATCTGCGATAAAGGGTTCAATCAAAAGAAAATTAGCATCCATTTTTTTTGGCATAGTTAGCTACGTAATTTTTTTTGTATAAAATTGGTTTGGACTTTTTTGAAATAGCTTTTGAAGTTTTTACTGTTTTTCACAAAATTTGTTGAAAAATACCTTGCCAAATCTGTGAGTAAGGGATGAATTGAAAAAAAACAGGTGCTTCGACCTTTTTCTGCCCTCCGTTTTGATGCCTCCTTATTTTCGTACAGATCCACGTAGGGAAACTTTTTGATTGCATTGAGAATTACGGTGCATCATCTGAGATTAAGAAAACCATCGTTTAATAAATTGAACGGATACTGCCAGCACGACTACCAATTGTGGCAAGCAATAAGCTATGGAGTTAATTAATATCAATTCATTGACATTTTGACCCAATTTCGAAATTATGGTCACAGAAAAATCCCATTTTTGAAGTTTAGCTGGCTTTTTAGAAATAAAGCTGCAATATAAGGTTTTCAGGGTGAATCGAATAAAGTTTTGTAAATGTATTTAACTAGCTGCGTTGCCCTGGTTTATGGAGAAAAAATTTATCGCCTTAGAAAGTGAACCATTTTTGAATTTATGCTGTTTGTTGGAAATTTTCTCAAAAGCCACCCCCAAGTCTGAGATTGAGGGTTTATTCAAAAGAGCAGGTTATTCGAATTTTCTGTGCACAGTCAGTTGTGTCCTAATCTTTGAAGGAGAAAAAAGCTTATGGTCTCAGAAAAAAGCTTAGTCTGGTTTTACTTTCGATGCGTTATTATATCTTTGTATTTGGCCTAGTTGTGACTAGTGATTGAAAATTGTCAAGTCACCTTCCTTGACGCTGGTACTGGTGACCCTTAATCTGAAGGTTGGGTTTGATTCCGGAACCCAGCAACGTGTTTCTTTTCAGTGTTTTATCTTTTTTTTTAGTTTTTCTACGTTTGGCCTTTTAACAGCTACTTTTTTTGTCGTTTATCGCTTGTTTGCGAAGCAGCTTCGCCTCTGTGTTTAGCATTTACACGAAATGATAATGTGATAAGATTCTTTTTTTCCCGTGCACATACAGAATACGATCAGCTGAGAGGTGAACACATTAGCAGCGTGGACAAATTCAAACAGTTGAAGGAGGTCATCAGTCTGCACGTGAACAATCTGAAACTCATGTCTTCTCTGTCTCTGCCTGAACTGAAGTTGCACTTGATTGCGCCAGACGAAGAAAAGGGAGATGATGACAGCTTTGCATTGAGTGAGTACAGATGGTAGTATATATATCTGGAGCAGTTAAGAGTTAGCCGTATTTTCCACTTTCATTCATCACCTGGCCTGACTTACAAGCTTGAAAAAGTCTGCACCTAGAGTGATGAAAACTAATCAACTAAAGTTTTTACACTCTTTTTTCTAGGTGACCAGTTGAAGCCGATGGAAAGTATGAAGCAACTAATCCTCAAAATAGACGCAATGAAGACTCAAAGAGAGAAGTTTTTGGACCAGCTAAAGTCAGATCTAGAAGCAGATGACATCACGGCTCATCTGTCGGCGACGAGGGATTCTAGCGAGCACGAGAAGATCTTTGAGGAAGAGTTGGCAAAGCATGAGAAGAGTGTGAATTTGTTGAAAATGAATCTGACTGCTCAAGGAAATATTTGCACAGCAGTGGAAGAGGAGTATGCAAAGTATGCAGTGGCGAAGAGGAAGTTAGATGAACTCTATCGTAGGTGAGATGAAGTTTTCTTTTAAAAAGAGAGTTGGCTAAGTGTTTAAGGTTTCGGTATCTAGTAGCTCAGAATAATAGGCACAAAATGCATGAAAAAAAGGTTCTAGAATGCATGTGGTTGTAGATCAATCAGGCGCATAGCAGTGATTATTTGTTGAAAGTTTAACAGCCCGAATGGTAGTCCTCTCCATCATGGATACTTGGTTTTTAATTAAAATAAGACCATTTACCCACCCGGAAAGTACCAACATACGAGATGAACAGGTCTTGAGTGAGAACCGCTGTTGTGCCCTTGCGTAAAATTTGCAAGCAGATTTTTTTGGTTCTTTTCTGAGCTGGGAAATGTTGCCTCACTGTAGGGCAGCAAACAGATTGTGGTGTGCCTCGAGCCGCTGACGGTTGGACAGAGGCATAAAGTTGAATCACTTCACTACAGCTCCTCTCAAACGCCGTCTTAATTGAATTATTTGTCCAAAATAGTGTTTTCTTATTTTTCTGTCAAAGGTTACTTGAAACTCCTCAAATATAAGAATTAGACCGGAAACAGTTTTAGTGCATTAAATCCCAGCAGTACTCGATTAAATGTGATCAATCTAATCATGTAATTTCAGACGCGAAGAGAGGGTGGAGGAGTTAGTGCTATCATTTGACTCGTGTGTGCAGCTGAAACAGAAGCTAGAAGAGTTTGCTCAGTTCTACTCTGAGCTGAGAGACAAAGTGACTCAATTGAAGGATCAGTTGACCGAATTCAGTGAGAACGAAGAAGAGAACAGAGAGAGAATTGTCTCCGCCAGAAAAAGTAAACTGCAAGGATTGATTAGTTGACAAGAGTTGCCAGTTTTCATGTCATTACACTTTTTAGAGCAAGTGTCTTGTAATCGGGAACTAGACTTTTCCCCATAAACTTCGTTTCTTACATAAGTTGTAAGAAATTAAAAATTAAGTGCAGTCATTTTCACGTGCTGTCATTATCAATTGTTGAGAATCAAAATACAATTATTGACCCCTTATGCGGAAGTAATTATTTTTTCCACATAACTTGAGAAAAATTTCCTTTTTTTCAGATTCGTTTTTTTTTCGTCCTAATTTTCGTCAGATTTAAACAGTTTATACTATAAATGAAAGTTATTCGTTCGGTACTTGAAAAATTTATCAACTCTGATTTGGAATATTTAATTTATTCAATTAAATGGTTTATGCTTATAAATTCAAATTCGAGGAGGATTCTGCTCATTTGGCTTTGTGATTGCATTGATGCATAAGATGACAAATTATGGAACATGGAAATATGGTTCCTGATGGGAATTTTTTTTCTGCAATCCGAAAATATCAGGCTATTTTAGACTATCGTCTGTCTGCTTATTTTTCTCGGCTTATTTCCCGCAGATATGACTTTTTGAAGACTGAATTCTTTCTGTCAGCCATAATACTCCGTGTAAAGTTTTCGATAGTGCAGATTTTTTCACTAATTTTTTTCCAGATTTTTCGTTCCAGGCTCTCTTTGCAATTTTTATGAGAAAATTTTTTGCAATTTTTGATTGTCTTTTTTATTTGCTTTCAATCATAGTCATTCTTTTTGTAGTGCAAGTGTTACGAAGGTCAGCGTCTCATCAGTAAAAAAAAAACACTAAGGACCCCTTAAAAGTCAATGAACATAGTGGAAACTGCTATATAATTCTTGATGAAAGTTATGAATTTGTTCACGCTGAAATAAGATTTTTCGAGGTTTGACTTGTGGTTTGATTTTCTGGTAATTTCATTTTTTTTTGTTAAAAAGAAGAGAAACTCTACTCTCGTTCAGCAAAAGTGTAGAGTTCCCGATAAACGTGAGAGTGTTCTAATTTCCAACGTGGATTTAAATTTTCAGAGCTTTAAGGCCATATTTTATAAAATGGATGAACGTAGTGAAGTCTGTTTTATAGGTATTGGTGATTTTTTCAAGAAAAAGTCTTCAAATGCTCTAATAATTACAGATGTGCATTCGTTTATAATAATGCATTTCTGGATGCATTTAGGTATATTTTCAATTTTTGAGTTCAATTAAATTTAATCTGCTGAAAGTGGGTAAATTGCAAGTACGAACGGGGAAATGGCGCGAAAAATTGTGAACGACTTCTAGTTTTGAAAGTGGATTTAAATTTTTAGATTAGAAACTTTACTTATTGGTCCAGTATTCTCAAATTGACTGCATATTATAAAAAATGTGTCAATCATAAATTGCTCTCGAAATTCAGAGAGCCTTAAAGCCATTTTTTGAATTTCAGAAATGATGTATTTTTTCCTAAAACAAGTCATTTTTTTCTGTTGCTTTGCGTTCATTGACTTTCTCTCACGGTCTGTTGGCTATGTTTTTTTTTTCATATATATTTTTTCAAAAGTTAGTTTTTTTCCATTTGCTGGTGTTTATTGACTCTTCCAACAGGCTATTAAATCATTTTTTTATAAATTGATATTTTTTTTATTTTTGCATGAAATTAAAAATTTGATTGATTCTCATTCATTTCAAAAGAATGCGTTGATTATCTATGTTTAACCCAATGGCTGGATAATGTTCAGGCTAGTTTTTTTGCCGCATCATGGACAACCATTTGAATCAGAAAAAAAATGAAAGAAATCTTAGTAAGTATGAAAGTGACTTATGTTTCAGGTAAACCCGAGCGTCCAACTGCCAAAAAACCTAATCTTCCGGCTACCACGGCCACATCGCCAAGTAAATATTTTTGATTAAATCACAAAGCGTAATTCTTTGAATTCAAAACTTCACGTGTTTAGAAGTCGACCCAACGTCAAAGTCGAAAGCTCCTGATTTAAGTTCAATGTTGGATCCCGAGTTTCTGGAGACATTGACTCCAGCAGAACGACAACTGATTGAAACTCTTTCGCCTGCAGAACTGCAGCAGCTGCAAATGAGTGTGGCAAATGCAGGAGCAAGCGTGGGTCCAACTGCACCTCCCCAACCTACGTCAGGAGCTTCTATGAATCCTGGTGTTTCACCGATGGGGACTTTATCAATGAATACGATGACATCTCAATTTGGGTCCCAACGTACAACGGCAAGTCCACATGCAGCAAATCAAAGTATGCAGGCATATGTTGCACCTAGTTTTGGTGGCTTGCAAAAAAACCCAATGCTGGATTCTTTGACCCCCGATGAAAGGCGACTTCTACTGGGAGAAGATGCGGGACCAGTACCTCCTCTGACATCCACAGTTGTCCCAAACCAAAGACCACCTCCGACTCGTCCTGCGAGTCGACCGAGACAGGCTATGCAGCCTTCTGTTCCACAAAATAGTCAGTCATATCAGTATCAACAAGGGGGAAACGTCACTAATCCTCTTGGTAATATGGCTCAAAGTCAGTTCAATCCAAGGACGCCAAGTGTTCAAACTGCTTCTGTTCCGCCTCAGCCGATCAATCAAACTTATACTCAGCCTCAAATGGCTCAGCCAATGCAACCAAATGTGAACCAAGGAGCTCCAAGTGGAGTCCCGATGACTCATGTTTATCCACAACCCCAAAAATCGGCAGCTATTTATCAATCGGCGCAATATCCTGCTGCATATGGTTATCAGTCTGTAGCAGCTAATAATTCAGGAGGTTTTTATGGAACAAACGTGCCAATTAGTCAAAGGGCTGTTCCAACGGCAGTTGTGGCTCCTAATGTTGCTGCCAATCAACAATATCCGACAACGTACAATCAGAATATGATGCAACAGTCGGCGATAGGTGCGGACCCGAATCAAGCTGGAAACCAAAATGCCATTGGATATCAAGGAGTTTCATCTTATCATCAGCAGCCCACAAATAATAATCAGCTTAATCAGAATCAGATGCAAAATCAGTCATTGAACCAAAATCAGCTACAAGCTCAATCATTCAGTGGCAGCCCGAACTCTTCTATGCAAACGTTTGCTCCAGGTTCACTGCCGACGAATGTTCCTAGTCCTGCTAATAATGAGCACTTAGTACAGCTTGAATATATGAAGCAACAGCGAGAAGTTATGCTGCAGCAACTAGAAATGCAAAACAAAAGACAACGTGACCTTGAGAGACAGTTGAATGAACAGAGGCTTCAGCATGAACAAAGTGTGAAGAGGTTGGAAACTGAGCAGCAGGAAAAACTCATGAAAGAGCAGCAGAAGATCATCCAGGAACAAATTGAGAAACAGCAGAAAGTGCTAGAAAAACAGCTTGAGGAGCAGAAAGCGCAGCAGCAGATGTTTATGAATCAGTTGATGGTCAATTACGCCAGCTTGCAGCAGCAATACCAACAAGTTCAGAACCAAAATGCTGCGAAGAATATTCAGCAACAAGAAATAGTACCAGATACTACAAGTACCCAAATGTCTGAAAATATAAATGCTGTGGAACCGCAGAATAAGAACAAAAATATTTTTGGTGCAGTTAAATCAGCGCCTATTCAGAACCAAGAAAACGTACAAATGGTACCGAACTTGACTACGTTAGGGAATCAAAATTATCAGCAGAATCCGACATATTTTGCTCAGAATCAAACTGCTTTGCAAAATAATCCCCAGAGCAATCATTGGCTACAGAACCAGTATCAACAAATCACTTCAGGAACCCAAAAAGGATCTCTTCAAAACCAAACCAGTCAACAAAGTCAAACTTTTGGGCAATTGGGTGGAAATATGGCTACGAGCAATTACTATTACCCTTCTAGCAACGGTCAGCTATCTCTTTACGGTAATATTCCACAGGCTAATACGAGTCAACTAGTCACTACAACTGAGAATGCAGTTGACATGAATCAATATTTTGCCACTTATGACCCTAAAAAACCTATAGACCATAAAGCTCTTGCGGCCCTAATGAAACAGCAACAGGCACAAACTCAAAATCAAGTAAGTCAGCAGGTGGGCAATAACAACGTGGCTCAACAGCAATTGAATTGGAGCAATTCAACTCAAGGACAAGGATATGTTTCAACCTCGGCTGAAGTACCACAAGAAGCAACGAAAACCGTTTCAAATCAAACGAATAAACAAAACGCATCATCCCTGCCATTAGATTATAACTGCAATTCATACTATAACAGCAATGCAACACAAACTATTTCAAATCCAGCCGTCTTTTTGCCTGCTAATAGCACTAAAATGGAATCTTCGAATCGAGAAGCTCAGATTAAAAAAGAGAACCAAGTATTAGAAAATAATAACAATGGCGAGTTTTCTGGTGTCGCTGTTGAACAGTCGTCCGGAATGGCAAAGAATCTCAATACTGCTTCTGAACAGCAAGCTGTCAGAAACTATGAAATGCCTGTGAACCAAAGCAATAAATCTCTCGCTTTAGAATCGACTTCTGCTCCAAAAGCCTTTAAAGACTCAAGTAATGTCGCTGAAGGCATCAGCAGCCTAAGTTTTAGCACGGTGACTACTGAGAGCAATAAGCCAGTTGAAATGGAAAACTCGCGTCAAGTTGAGGAGCCTATGAGAAGGAAATCGAAAGAGACAGAAATTTCAAAGGTGTCCGAAAACGTGGAGAAGCTGAAAGTTGAGCAAGGATCATCGTCTAATGTAGAAAGTCTTCTAGCTAAACAGCTGAAACCATCTAATACTAAACGAATCGCACAAATCGGCAAAACATCTAATTTCTATCAAGACAAAGCATCAATGGATAAATTACTTTCAGATTTGGACAAGTTAGAAAAGCATGTTGTTAACATGCATAAGCAGACTTTGAACGGACCTACAATTTTACAGAGAGAATGGAATGAGTTGGAATCGCGGTTCACGCCCGTAAACGCGCCAGTATGCGAAATATTTTTGTCTAATTCTGAGAAAGATTGGCCAATGCTGAATGACTCTAACCGACGCCTCAATTGTTACTCGCATAACGTGCTTTTACGAGGAGCTCAAACGAATGAACAATTGACTTTAGTAGATATTGATTCTCCTTCTGAACTGATGCCGAGATTCTGTTTGGTCGGAGCGGTTGGGTCAAATGAGAAAATGAAGACTTTTTGGAACTCAGTGAGGGAATTTGAAGTGACACTTCTGGTGTCCTATCAAAACAGATCACAGGTGAGGGACGTTTTCTTGAAGTTTGAGATTATTAAATCGTTTATGCATACGTTCAGGACAAGCGATTATCGTTTAATTGGAGTGGAAATCAATATTTTTTAGAATCGTTCTCGAACTTAAACTTATGACCTGATCGCTTTGTCAGCTTTTTTTTCGAACTGTTGGCACATAAACGCAAAGCTAAAGGGTTTGCCAGCCCGAAGTCCCAACCTAGCATCCCGAAAATAAGGGCGGTTGTCCTGGGATTAAATTGGTAAGGCACGAGTCATGTTCTTGCTTTTCCGGGAGTCTGCAAGGAAATGTCTTTTCAAAAAAAGCTGACAAAAATTTCAGTAGCGTTAAAATTTGAATTTTGATAATACGAAAGAGTAAACAAAAATGAAACAAAATTTACAATGGTTTAACACAAACTAGATAACGCTCTGAAAAAGTACAGATCAGTTTTGTCTTCGTTTGCGTTTGTTTACCACTTGAGTAAAGTATAAAGTGACTGTCAGAATTTCATTTTTGTCAGAATTTGTACGTCAAATTATTATGAATTAGCACAAGCAGCTTTTTTTAGTAATCATAATAGTTTAGCGAAAATTGAAAATAAATTACAAACTTGTTGATAAGAGTCTTAAGTAAATTAGGAAGCCTCCTTTTAGCATGTATAACTAAGATAAACCAAGTTTTTCATTATGGTGCGTGCGTTAATTGCAGGGTTAACTTTGGTGTGATAAGAGTTAAGATAAGGAATTCATACAGCATTCTTTTAATAGTGAAATGACTACGTGTTAAAATGTACTGTGTTAAACTGGAAAATAAGAGTTATTTTGTTGTCGATTTAAATTGTTTAGTAGTGAAATGACTAAGTGGTAAAATGTACGGTGTTAAATTGTATGTCATTAAATTGTAGGACACCGATCGCTGGCATGGAGTGGGAAGTCATTGTGAAATAGGATAGTTTTTTAAAGCTTTGTTAGATATCTCGAAGAAAATTCGTAGGGATGAGTGTGGTACACTATTATAGACGATTCAAACGTGATTCATGTTCGAAGTTTTGTCGAATTGGTTTTCTACTTTTTGGAGCTCAATTCCAACTCATATGCTAAAATGTAGAAAAAATACTCGCCGCTTAAGAAAAGGAAGTGGCGTGGAAACCGTGAACAAATTCTAGTGCCAAAAGTAGAATTTAATTATAAGAGTTCCCAGTGGAATATAAATTTTTCTTTTTTATCCAGTTTTGTTAAATTGGGTCAATTTTTGCAAAAAAAATATTAATCATTACAGATTCACAAAATTCACCGTTTTCACAAAATTCACAAAGTTTTAACGTATTTTTTTTGTTTTCCTGTGTTCATCAACATTTTTCCAACTGTCCTTTTGCTATGTTTTATGTAGTATCTCAAATGATGTGAAGTTCTGCTTTGCCTTGTCTGGAAAAGTGCATTGAAAATATTGTGAATTATTCCATGGCTTCTTAGTAAAACTTTTAAATATTGGCTAGGTCTGTGCTTACATTCCGGACAAGCAGGGAGTGAATGTGGAAGTGGGAGGGGAATTTTTCCTCCGTCTGCAGAACACGAGTGTGTCCCAGTACTGGCTACAGAGAACCATCAACCTATTCAGTCCAGCCACCAACGAGCACAGGTCCTCAACAGCCGAAATTATGACCTTATGAAATTCAGAAACAAAATGTTTAGCTTTTTAATAAGTAGTGAAAAGGATACAAGTGAAAAGATTACAACTATACTTCAATGCATTGTGCTCAAACTCTTGTCCGAAAGAAAGAGTTGTTTTTTGTTACCTGTTGTTTTTGCGTCTGAAATTTTAAGGCTGTGTGACGTTTCTCAGATCTCTGCTGCGATAAGGTCATGCTACTAGCTTTCACCTTGTTCTGATGTCAGCTCGAACTGTTTCAGGACTGTGACGCATCTGCAGTTTCTAGAGTGGCCCTCAACTGAAAGTGGCGAAAGAATTGGTGAGAGATTTCCTAAGCATGGCCCCCTCATCTCCTTCCTAAGGACAGTCAGACAGTTCTACAACCTACAGGAAAATAGAGAGAAACCGACTATTGTGCAGAGCGAGTGAGTCGATCTACCTCCGCTCTCATTAGAGAAACATAACTTTTATGGTGTAACCAGTAGCTTGATGATGTTGTGTATAGTAGAAATGAACGCAGTGAGAAGTCTTTTCTTATATAGGTCTTGCTGATTTCTTAAAAGTTTTCTGTAGGAAAAGTTTTAAAAGTTTGTTCACGCTCAATTTTGGTTTTTCGCGGTTTGATTTTGTTTTTCTTAGTAAGTTCAGTTCATTCCGTTTGTTAAAAGGAAGGTAAACTCTATTATCGAACAGCACTAATGTAAAGGTCATGAAAAACTTTATCGATTTCTTGTTTCGAAAATGGAATTTATTTATCAGATTTCCCAGCGAAATAAAATTTGACCTAATGATCCAGTTTTCTCAAAATAAATTAGTTTTATCAAAAAGCACTAATAGAAAATTGTTCATGAAATTCGAAGAGCTTGAAGGGTATGTTTTTTCATGGACAGCTATAAGAGCAATCAGTTGCTTTTGTTTCCTTGCGTTCATTACTTTTTTCCAACTGTCAGTTGGCTATGTTTAGTTCATATCGTAAAATTAAAGCATTGCATACTTTTACTTGTAGACAGCGCGGCTGAGAACTTTTATAATCGAATAAGCGCAAGTTGATTGCAATCAGTTCTCTACCCTTGCGATAATTGCGATAAGCAAGGCTATTGCAATCTGGTACTAGACTTTTTCCCTTGAATAACATTATTCACTGGTATCTTCTCGACTCATCTCTTGTGATACCTTGTTTTATACCTAATTCAATTTTTTTGCCTCCCGGTTCATTTCGCCTGGAGGTAACGAATTACGCTTGGGACGGCCGAACTCCTAGGTTCGAATCTGACCTGGACCCGTTTTTTTTTTCAAACAAAATCCTTCAGTTTCAAATAAAATTGTCGGCCAATTATTTGTCTGCTTATCTTTTGTCGGCTTAGTTTTCCCTTCTTGGAATCGTTTTTTTACGGCGCTCGTGAATAGTATTTGGGCGGTGTATGTCTTTTATCAATTTTATTTTGCCGTACTATTTTGTTGTATCGCAAGTGGAAAGAAGCTCAGCTTCGCCTCTGTTTAAAATTCACCTTTCCGCGATTTTAAAAAGTTGTCCTCGATTTTGTTTTTCTTGTAGAAATTGGTTGCTGTTTTTTTCAGCTTCTAAATAGAAGCCAATTTTGATTTTCAGTGAGGGCGTAGCTCAAAGCGGACTTGTGATGCTCCTGCTGCGGTGCATGCAATCTTTGGACCATGGTTTGGGACTCATTGATATTCCGACAGTTGTCAACGACTCTCGCAGACTATTTCACCAGGCCATTGTGCCATCGCCAAACCAACTTTACTATCTATACATGTGTTACCTACACTATATCTATCAATTCATGAGTAACAAAGGATTGCATACTAACTACCATGTCATCAATACAGCGTCAAAATCTGGTCTGCCAAAACTTCAGCCAGTAGCCAAACCAGTTGATCCCGGAAACCAGGAGTCCAATAGGTCTGAAAGTTTCTCAGGAGCTTTAGCAGCGGATGGAACCCCATTGAGAGACTTGAGGCAAATGATGACTGCAGAAAGCTTCAGTATTGGATCTCAACCAGGTTCTCCCAAGCCTAAACACAATTTTGACGATACACAGGGGACCATAGGAAAAAGTACAGATCCTGGAGATCCGTTCAGTTCTCTTGATGCAATGTGGAAAATGAAATGAAATTTTCCCAAATTTTTTTATTTCTTTTATTTTCCCATTTTAGCTGAGTTCAGAGAAGATGAACCCTTCTTGCGAAAGATCAAATTTCTATAATTTATGTGCTAACTACCCTCGAACTTACCATTGGTGCTTTGACATTTATTAATTGAGGACATATTAACAGTTTTTCACTGACAAAAATAGACAAAACTATGACTTCTTGAGATTGCCCAAATTTTCAAGACTATGACTGCTTCAGATTGTCCTCAAGTATAACCAAAATTTTCAATTTTAGAATACTTGGCTGTTAGAATATCATGAAAGTTTATGTGAAGATGTGATAAATTAACCCCAATATTTATTTAGATAGACAATAAAATTCCTTTTCGAGTTATTTTTGCGCAGTCAGCAGTGAATATAGAATCGGAACTCGCTAATTTCGAAAATGGAAATTAATTATCAGATTTCCCAGAGAAATAAAATTTTACCCATTGATCCAGCTTTCTCAAATTTGGTAATTTTATCAAAAAAGCGTCAATAATAAATTGCTCTAAAAATTCAAACAGCTTTAGGGCCATCTCTTCTTTTTCTTGGAAATTCGAAAGCTGAGTTTTTTTTTTCAAAAGACAAGTATTTTTTTTCTGTTTACTTGGGTTCATTCATTCTTTTCCAACTGTCTGTTAGCTATGTTTATTTTTTGAATTTAAGAATTCCTAGCTGAATAATGAAGTTATGTTATGATTCATTGTTCTCAAATTTGAGTCTTATGATATGACCCTGGCAATAGTTTTACCTTAAGAGCAACCTAGAAATGGCTACAGATAATTTCTGTGAAATTCCGTTCAGTATTTTGAATGAAGGGAAACATGTCCAGATGGTTTTGCATATTGCTTGAACGTAGTGAAGACTCTTTTATAGAACTTGATGATTTTAAAAATTTGTTCAAGCTCATAGTTTTTTTTAGGAAAATTTATTCACTCATTTGATTATGATTAAGCTTTCGATTTGGCGAGCGTAGTGATGTACTGTCAATAACTCTTTTTTGGCAAGCAAATTCGCATATTGTGTGCAAAATTTTTGTGCAAAGCTTCTCGAATTAATAGTTTCCGAGAGACATTTTTATGTGATTTTGTAGAGTTTGCGATCATTTTTTTTTGCACAGCTTTACTGGTGTTTTGTCGGTTAATTTGCCATGCCACGTTTGTGTTTATCGCATGTGATGCAGCTGTGCTATTTAATTTTCCCTCATTATTTTGTATTTTGACCACGAACGAGGTCATTAGGCCTGAAGGTAAGGATTTTTTTCAATGATTATTACTCTTGCTTGAGCAAGTGTCTTGTAATTGCGAACTAGACTTTTTCCCGTAAACATCTTTTCTTACAAATCTGTGGGAAATTGAAGTTGCGTTATCATTGAACCTTAACAACTCACAAGTCCGCGCTGACTTGGCCTGTAGTTAACGCGATTGCCTTTGCAGGTCTGGGATTCCAGTCATGGCAGGACCTCGCTTTTTTCAGTGTATGAAATTGGAAAGGTTTTTCTGGAAAAAAAATTGATCATTTAGATTATCGTTAGTCTGCTAATGTTTTGTCGGCTTAGTTGCGACATCACAGGTATATAGTGTGCTGTAAGCACTTTTCATTGTTATGCTTTATCTGTAAATTTACTAAGCCTGACTTAAATATTTTCATTGTTTTTTTTCCGCTTAGAAATTTAGTTCTGCCTGGAAGATTTCAGTGATAGTTTTTACTGGCTCAGTCAATTTTTTGTATCGTTTGATGACTGAAAATTTGTTGTTTTGGTTGGTTAGGTCGGTTGTATTATAAAAGTTATGACAAGTTCGTTTTTTTTTTACTTTCGGCTCAATGAGCGTCTACCAACGGATTGTCAGCTTTTTTAACGCTGGCGGATAGGTTTTTTCGATCTTTTTTTTTGAAGTTGATTTGAGTGTGGCAAATGCAGGAGCAAGCGTGGGTCCAACTGCACCTCCCCAACCTACGTCAGGAGCTTCTATGAATCCTGGTGTTTCACCGATGGGGACTTTATCAACGAATACGATGACATCTCAATTTGGGTCCCAACGTACAACGGCAAGTCCACATGCAGCAAATCAAAGTATGCAGGCATATGTTGCACCTAGTTTTGGTGGCTTGCAAAAAAACCCAATGCTGGATTCTTTGACCCCCGATGAAAGGCGACTTCTACTGGGAGAAGATGCGGGACCAGTACCTCCTCTGACATCCACAGTTGTCCCAAACCAAAGACCACCTCCGACTCGTCCTGCGAGTCGACCGAGACAGGCTATGCAGCCTTCTGTTCCACAAAATAGTCAGTCATATCAGTATCAACAAGGGGGAAACGTCACTAATCCTCTTGGTAATATGGCTCAAAGTCAGTTCAATCCAAGGACGCCAAGTGTTCAAACTGCTTCTGTTCCGCCTCAGCCGATCAATCAAACTTATACTCAGCCTCAAATGGCTCAGCCAATGCAACCAAATGTGAACCAAGGAGCTCCAAGTGGAGTCCCGATGACTCATGTTTATCCACAACCCCAACAATCGGCAGCTATTTATCAATCGGCGCAATATCCTGCTGCATATGGTTATCAGTCTGTAGCAGCTAATAATTCAGGAGGTTTTTATGGAACAAACGTGCCAATTAGTCAAAGGGCTGTTCCAACGGCAGTTGTGGCTCCTAATGTTGCTGCCAATCAACAATATCCGACAACGTACAATCAGAATATGATGCAACAGTCGGCGATAGGTGCGGACCCGAATCAAGCTGGAAACCAAAATGCCATTGGATATCAAGGAGTTTCATCTTATCATCAGCAGCCCACAAATAATAATCAGCTTAATCAGAATCAGATGCAAAATCAGTCATTGAACCAAAATCAGCTACAAGCTCAATCATTCAGTGGCAGCCCGAACTCTTCTATGCAAACGTTTGCTCCAGGTTCACTGCCGACGAATGTTCCTAGTCCTGCTAATAATGAGCACTTAGTACAGCTTGAATATATGAAGCAACAGCGAGAAGTTATGCTGCAGCAACTAGAAATGCAAAACAAAAGACAACGTGACCTTGAGAGACAGTTGAATGAACAGAGGCTTCAGCATGAACAAAGTGTGAAGAGGTTGGAAACTGAGCAGCAGGAAAAACTCATGAAAGAGCAACAGAAGATCATCCAGGAACAAATTGAGAAACAGCAGAAAGTGCTAGAAAAACAGCTTGAGGAGCAGAAAGCGCAGCAGCAGATGTTTATGAATCAGTTGATGGTCAATTACGCCAGCTTGCAGCAGCAATACCAACAAGTTCAGAACCAAAATGCTGCGAAGAATATTCAGCAACAAGAAATAGTACCAGATACTACAAGTACCCAAATGTCTGAAAATATAAATGCTGTGGAACCGCAGAATAAGAACAAAAATATTTTTGGTGCAGTTAAATCAGCGCCTATTCAGAACCAAGAAAACGTACAAATGGTACCGAACTTGACTACGTTAGGGAATCAAAATTATCAGCAGAATCCGACATATTTTGCTCAGAATCAAACTGCTTTGCAAAATAATCCCCAGAGCAATCATTGGCTACAGAACCAGTATCAACAAATCACTTCAGGAACCCAAAAAGGATCTCTTCAAAACCAAACCAGTCAACAAAGTCAAACTTTTGGGCAATTGGGTGGAAATATGGCTACGAGCAATTACTATTACCCTTCTAGCAACGGTCAGCTATCTCTTTACGGTAATATTCCACAGGCTAATACGAGTCAACTAGTCACTACAACTGAGAATGCAGTTGACATGAATCAATATTTTGCCACTTATGACCCTAAAAAACCTATAGACCATAAAGCTCTTGCGGCCCTAATGAAACAGCAACAGGCACAAACTCAAAATCAAGTAAGTCAGCAGGTGGGCAATAACAACGTGGCTCAACAGCAATTGAATTGGAGCAATTCAACTCAAGGACAAGGATATGTTTCAACCTCGGCTGAAGTACCACAAGAAGCAACGAAAACCGTTTCAAATCAAACGAATAAACAAAACGCATCATCCCTGCCATTAGATTATAACTGCAATTCATACTATAACAGCAATGCAACACAAACTATTTCAAATCCAGCCGTCTTTTTGCCTGCTAATAGCACTAAAATGGAATCTTCGAATCGAGAAGCTCAGATTAAAAAAGAGAACCAAGTATTAGAAAATAATAACAATGGCGAGTTTGAAGAGCTTGAAGGGTATGTTTTTTCATGGACAGCTATAAGAGCAATCAGTTGCTTTTGTTTCCTTGCGTTCATTACTTTTTTCCAACTGTCAGTTGGCTATGTTTAGTTCATATCGTAAAATTAAAGCATTGCATACTTTTACTTGTAGACAGCGCGGCTGAGAACTTTTATAATCGAATAAGCGCAAGTTGATTGCAATCAGTTCTCTACCCTTGCGATAATTGCGATAAGCAAGGCTATTGCAATCTGGTACTAGACTTTTTCCCTTGAATAACATTATTCACTGGTATCTTCTCGACTCATCTCTTGTGATACCTTGTTTTATACCTAATTCAATTTTTTTGCCTCCCGGTTCATTTCGCCTGGAGGTAACGAATTACGCTTGGGACGGCCGAACTCCTAGGTTCGAATCTGACCTGGACCCGTTTTTTTTTCAAACAAAATCCTTCAGTTTCAAATAAAATTGTCGGCCAATTATTTGTCTGCTTATCTTTTGTCGGCTTAGTTTTCCCTTCTTGGAATCGTTTTTTTACGGCGCTCGTGAATAGTATTTGGGCGGTGTATGTCTTTTATCAATTTTATTTTGCCGTACTATTTTGTTGTATCGCAAGTGGAAAGAAGCTCAGCTTCGCCTCTGTTTAAAATTCACCTTTCCGCGATTTTAAAAAGTTGTCCTCGATTTTGTTTTTCTTGTAGAAATTGGTTGCTGTTTTTTTCAGCTTCTAAATAGAAGCCAATTTTGATTTTCAGTGAGGGCGTAGCTCAAAGCGGACTTGTGATGCTCCTGCTGCGGTGCATGCAATCTTTGGACCATGGTTTGGGACTCATTGATATTCCGACAGTTGTCAACGACTCTCGCAGACTATTTCACCAGGCCATTGTGCCATCGCCAAACCAACTTTACTATCTATACATGTGTTACCTACACTATATCTATCAATTCATGAGTAACAAAGGATTGCATACTAACTACCATGTCATCAATACAGCGTCAAAATCTGGTCTGCCAAAACTTCAGCCAGTAGCCAAACCAGTTGATCCCGGAAACCAGGAGTCCAATAGGTCTGAAAGTTTCTCAGGAGCTTTAGCAGCGGATGGAACCCCATTGAGAGACTTGAGGCAAATGATGACTGCAGAAAGCTTCAGTATTGGATCTCAACCA